AAAAAAAAAAAAAAGAAAATTACATATTTGCACATTTTAAATAAGTTGGGCTTTGTCTACAGTTAATGCATTTTCTTCCTTTGTAAAGGAAGGAGAGTGAAGCACACGTTAACATAGCTCATCAGAAGCAAAGCTTTTGAAGTGATTCGAGCTCCAGTGCTCTTTCCCCTTCACTTTCTTTTTTTTTTTGAGACGGAGTTTCGCTCTTGTTACCCAGGCTGGAGTGCAATGGCGCGATCTCGGCTCACCGCAACCTCCGTCTCCTGGGTTCAGGCAATTCTCCTGCCTCAGCCTCCTGAGTAGCTGGGATTACAGGCACGCACCACCATGCCCAGCTAATTTTTTGTATTTTTAGTAGAGACGGGGTTTCACCATGTTGACCAGGATGGTCTCGATCTCTTGACCTTGCGATCCACCCGCCTCGGCCTACCAAAGTGCTGGGATTACAGGCTTGAGCCACCGCGCCCGGCCTCCCCTTCACTTTCTTATGTTCCCCGATGTGTAACGCCAGAGCAGGCTCCTATGGGACCCTCAACCCACACAAGGGGATGCTGATGAAAGAAACTTCTCCTCTAGCATCTGGTAATTCAGATGACACTTTGATTTTTATTGATTGATTGATTTTTGAGACGGTGTCTCACTCTGGTGTGAAGAGGGCAGTGGTGCCATCTTGGCTCACTGCAACCTCCATCTCCCGGATGCAAGCAATTCTCCTGCCTCAGCCTCCTGAGTAGCTGGGATTACAGGCGCCTGCCACCACGCCCAGCTAATTTTTGTGTTTTTAGTAGAGACAGTGTTTCACCATGTTGGCCAGGCTGGTCTCAAACTCCTGACCTCAAGTGATCCGCCCACCTTGGCCTCCCAAAGTGCTGGGATTACAGGCATGAGCCACCACTCCCGGCTGTCCCTTTGATTTTGATTTAACTTTTGTTTCTTTTCCTACACCCTCCCCCCGAAGGCGTTTGAAATGTCCTTAATTTGGAGCTTAACAATGTGCTGTTCTCAGAAGCTCCCAGGTGATACTGATGCTGCTGGTCATAGACCACACATCGAAACTAGCAAGTGGACAGGTCAGCCCAGCCCCAGGTGAAAGTGTCTGTGGCAGGAGTCCTCTGGGTGTTGGTGACTGCAGTTTGGTATTTCCCCCTTCTCCCCACTTTTCCTCTCCATTCCGTTTTTCGCTTGTGGGACCATTAGGTGAAACTCAGGAATGCCTCTGACAAGTGTAGATGTTTGTTTCCCATTTAACTTGTCCAGTTAAAGTATGTGTGTAATATGCCAAGTGTTACTCTTCTTTTCTTGTGTTCACTACTGTTGTATCTCCAACCAGGAGAATTTACCAGGACGGAATTACACCTTCTGGCAATGGTTTGATGGCGTGATGGAAGTGTTAAAAAAACATCTCAAGCCTCATTGGAATGATGGGTGAGAATCATTATTTCTTAAGGCACCAACAGAACCCAAAGGTCTTCTTTCTGGCATCAATAAGTCACACTCTGCTTCTGTCCTTTGTCCTTGGTGATCCAGGGCCATTTTGGGGTTTGTAAACAAGCAACAGGCCCATGACCTACTCATTAACAAGCCAGATGGGACCTTCCTGCTGAGATTCAGTGACTCAGAAATTGGCGGCATCACCATTGCTTGGAAGTTTGATTCTCGTGAGTGCCCCTCCCTTCTTATGTCCAGAGTTAGCTGCTTTTGTTACAAAATTATTTTCACAAATAATTTATTGGGTACTTACTCTTTGTTGGGATCAGTACTAATTATGAGAAACACAAATGTATAGCCATGCATACTTATAAGGCAGTCTATGAAAAATACTATTATGGGAAACACAGTTACTCATTTGGTTATACATGGAAGTATATGGCATATGGCAACATGGTTATACATGAAAGTATAACCATGACATGGCTGCCTATGATACAGGAGTCTGTGCAGAATCTCAATTGCTTCCCTCGTGAAATGTCTGCCTTATTTTATTACTCTGCGTAAAGCTCATTTCAGTGAAGAATGACTTGGATGATTTGGAGCCCTTAACAGTAGTAAAATATTCCTTTCTCCTAATTAACATACCAATATTGCCATCAACCATTTCTAGCCAAGATGTTAGATCTTTTCTTTTTTTGTAACAAGGTCTCTTTTGCCCGGGCTGGAGTGCAGTGGTGCAAACATGACTCACTTCAGCCTCGACTCCCTGGCCTCAAGTAATACTCCTGTCTCAGCCTCCCAATTGGTTGGGACCACAGACGTGCACCACCACCGCCATCGAATTTTTAAATTTTTTGTATGTTGCCCAGGCTGGTCTCGAACATTTGGGCTCAAACAATCCCCTGCTTTGGCCTTCCAGAGTATTGGGATTACAGGCGTGAGCCACTGCACCGGGGCATCAGGAATGTTAGTTCTTTCCCCTGACCCTCACAATAAGGGTAGGTTGCCAGTTCGTTTTTTGTGACTTAAAGTTTTTAATAAGTTTTGTCTGGATCGGGTGGCTAATGCCTGTAATCCCAGCACTTTGGGAGCCTGAGGCAGGAGGATCACCTGAGGCCAGGAATTCAAGACCAGCCTGGACAACATAGCAAAACCTTGTCTCTAAAAAAATTTAAAAAAAAATAAATAAATAAGTTAATTAGCTAGCTGGGCATGATGGTGTTCATGGTGCATGCCTGTAGTCCCAACTACTCTGGAGGTGAGGCGGGATGATCACTTGACCCCAGGAGTTCAAGGTTACAGTGAGTCATGATCACACCAATGTATTCCAGCCTGGGCAACAGAGTGAGATCCTGTCTTTAAAAAAAAAATTATTCATCACTTTTAATAGCTCTTACACTTTCTCTGTTTGTGGGCATGCTTGGTAGCTCTTATATATCTTTGTATGGGGAATCGGGGATTGGGGTTAATACGAACTGTTTCTTCTCCTGAGGGCTAGAATACTGCTTGAACCTGAAACTACTGAGATCATTGGATATCTTGGGAGGTGATTTGTGTATAACCTGCTTATCTACCCATGGCTTTTATCTTTATTTTTATTTATTTATTAATTTATTTTTTGAGATGGCGTCTCTATCACCCAGGCTGGAGTGCAGTGTCATGATTTCAGCTCACTGCAACCTCCACCTCCCAGGTTCAAGCCATCCTCCTGCCTCAGCCTAGGAGCTAGGACTACAGATGAGCGCTACCATGCCTGGCTAATTTTTGTATTTTTAGTGGAGATGGAGTTTTACCATGTTGGCCAGGCTGGTCTCGAACCCATGACCTCAGGTGATCTGCCAGCCTTGGCCTCCAAAAGTGTGGGATTACAGGTGTGAGCCATCGTGCCTGGCCCCTACCCATGGCTTTTTTTTTACTTTCATTTTTGAGCTGCCAGGACACCACGACCCATGGCTTTTAAAACTACTTCATCTGTAACTCATATTTTTAAATGGAGATTTCTGTTGGAGCCATTATAATGGCAAGCTTGAATTTATAGTATGTTTGAGTTTTAAGATTTCCTATTCAGAAATTATGTTTAGAATATGATTGTCTGTTTCTTGATCTAGAGGAAAGAATGTTTTGGAATCTGATGCCTTTTACCACCAGAGACTTTTCCATTCGGTCCCTAGCCGACCGCTTGGGAGACTTGAATTACCTTATCTATGTGTTTCCCGACCGGCCAAAAGATGAAGTATACTCCAAATACTACACACCAGTTCCCTGCGAGTCCGCTACTGGTAACAATGTTTGCATTCTGATTTGATTTTGTTGATTTTGGTTGTGTGTGGGGGGTGGGGGGTGCATGTGATGTCTCTTGCAGGAAAACCTACACAATTAGCATTCGGTTCCAGCAGTTTGAGCATTTTCCAGCGCAGATGTAAACCCTGGGCTGTATTCTTCAGTAATACAGAAAAGACATCTGGCACTAATCCCAAATGTCAAACAGAAGAAAACAAATTCCTTCTAATACAAGCTTAGATCAAACAAACTTAGAGAGGTAAAATTTTGTTTTTCATGACAGATGGTTTTATTGCTTTGCGTCTAGAAGTATTATATATTTATTATAAAATTTTCAGAAGACACATAAAGCCATATAAAAGAAAACAGGCCAGGCACAGTGGTTCATACCTGTAATCCCAGCACTTTGGGAGGCTGAGGCAGGTGGATCATTTGAGGTCAGGAGTTCAAGATCAGCCTGGTCAACATGGTGAAACCCCATCTCTACTAAAAATAAAAACATTAGCCAGGTGTACACTGTATTCCAGCCTAGGTGACAGAGCAAGGCTCTGTCTCAAAAATAAAAAATTAAACACAAATATATTCATTTAGTGATGGGTGCTCTGAAGACCCATGAGGCAAGGTAGAGGGATAGAGAAGGGGCAGGGAGGAGGGTGGAGGTGTCATTTCACTAGAGTGCTCAAAGAGGGTTTCTCTGAGAATGTGATTTTTTTTTTTTGAGATGGGGTCTTACTTTGTTGCCCAGGCTGGAGTGCATTGCTCACTGTAGTCTCAAACTCCTAGGCTCAAATGATCCTCCCACTGCAGCCTCCCACATAGCTGGGACTATACACATGCATCACCAATCCTGGTTAATCATTTTATTTTTATAGAGATGAGGTCTTGCTCTGTTTCCCAAGCTGATCTTAAAAGCCTGGGCTCAAGCAGTCCTCATTCCTCAGCTCCTCAAATGTCTGGGATTATAGGCGTGAGCCACTGCACCCAGCCAGGATGTGATGTTGGAAAAGACCCGAGCGAAGTGAGGAAGCTAGCCATATACAAAGATCTAGAGAGAAAAATATGCTGTGCCAAGAGAACAAGTACAGAAATCCTGGGTTGAGAATGGGCATGTCTGGAAAGCCTCAGGAGGGCTGGGGAGGCTGGAGCCTGTTGAGCAGGGAAGATAAGTTGGTAGGAGACGAGGTCAGTGCACTCTGGCCCTGGAGTTCAAGGTGCAAGGTTGGGGTTTGGACCGTACCATATGTAATCTTTTGTGACTTTTTTATTTTTCACTTAGAAATATATCCTAGGTAGCTGGGCATGGTGGCTCACACGTGTAATCCCAGAACTCTGGGAGGTCAAGGTGGGCAGATCACTTGAGGTCAGGAGTTTGAGACCAGCCTGGCCAACATGGTGAAACCCTGTCTCTACTAAAAAATGCAAAAATTAGCCAGGCATGGTAGCGGGCACCTGTAATCCCACTACTTGGGAGGCTGAGGCAGGAGAATCACTTGGGAGGCTGAGGCAGGAGATCACCCCACTGCACTCCGGCCTGGGCAACAGAGCCAGACTCTGCCTCAAAAAAAAAAAAAAAAGAAATATATCCTAGGCAGAGTTACAGCTCAGTAAATGTAATCTTCCGACATCAATTTGATGATTGCATTGCATGGTGAGTTTATGTTGGTGATTTAAGATACTTATAATTTGGGCCTGGGCACAGTGGCTCATGCCTGTAATCTCAGCACTTAGGTAGGCCAAAGAGGGAGGATTCCTTGGGCCTAGGAGTTTGAGACCAACCTGGGCAACATGGTGAGACCCCGTCTTACAAAAAATAAAAAATTAGCTGCGCGTGGTGGCTTATGCCTGTAGTCCCAGCTACTCAGGAGGCAGAGGCTTGGAGGATAGCTTGAGCCCAGGAATTTGAGGCTGCAGTGAGCTATGATTGTGCCATTGCACTGTAGCCTGTGTGACAGAGCAAGACCCTGTCTCAGAAAAAAAAAAAAAAAAAATCCTATTTCTGGCAGCATTTCTTTGGTTTTTAGCTTCTTAGCCAATCTATAAAATTCTCTGAATTAGCCGTGCGGGGTGGCACATGCCTGCAATCCTAGCTACTGGGGAGGCTGAGGCAGGAGAATTACTTAAACCCGGGAGACAGAGGTTGTGGTGAGCTGAGATTGCGCTATTGCACTCCAGCCTGGGCAACAAGAGTGAAATTCCGTCTCAAAAAATAAAATTCTCTGTACACTGTAAAGCACAAAAACATGAGGTGTTATGAAAAGTCACTCCTGACACTTGAAGTCCTAGAAGAAGCAAATCAGGATAATGAGCAGTTGGTGAACCTTGCAGCATTTCACCCTCTTAGGCTACTTAAACGACAGGCTCTTTGTCCTGTAACCATAGTGTGATCGCCCTTGCCTAGTGTAATTAACGTTGTCCTGATCCCCATATTCACATACCCGGAAACAAGACTTCATTCACCCATGTCAGAGATCACATTGTTACTACCTGCTTACCTGAATGTCCATAGTCAGCCTTCAGAAAAGGTAACTCTGGCCGGCCAGATCACATTCAGGTTTATCTGCTCATCTGCCACATCCCGGTGGGAATCTGTAGGAAACAAGAGGCACATCGCATTCTTGGCACCGACAGCGCTCATTGGGACTAGTGACTATCAGAGTACCCCAAATGCAGAAACACAAGGCATTAAGGAGCATGCAGGTGCCAGGAAAAGTAGCCTTCCCTTTTCTGAAAGACTAGACACTCAGAGTTAGAGGGACCTCAGACATCATCAAGTCAGATCAGCAGCTCTTCAGTGCTTAGGTCTTTCTGCAAGAATCCTGACTATTGTGTATGCACCTGCTTGAAAACCTCCAGTGATGGTTAGGCACTCTGGCCCACGCCTGTAATCCCAATACTTTGGGAGGCCAAGGCAGGTGGATCACTTGAGGTCAGGAGTTCAGGACCAGCCTGACCAACATGGAGAAACCCCGTCTCTACCAAAAATGCAAAAAGTAGTCGAGCATGGTGCTGCATGCCTGGAATCCTAGCTACTCAGGAGGCTGAGGCATGAGAATCGCTTGAACCCGGGAGGCAGAGGTTGCAGTGAGCCAAGATCACACCACTGCACTCCAGTGTGGGCAACAGAGCAAGACTCTGTCAAAAAAGGAAAAGAAAAGAAAAGAAAACCTCCAGTGACAAGGAAATCAGTCCTTCCTAAGATAAACCATTTCTTTTCTAGGCAGTTCTTCTTAGAACATTCTTCCCTACATGACTGAACATTTGTCCTCTTATGACCTGCCCCTCCTGGTCCTGATTTTATCCCCTGGGTCAGGTAGAACAAATCGTGTCTCTCAGCTGCATCTTGGACTTTAAGCTTTTCACGTTTTTTTTTTAGTAGTATGCAATTAATGCTTGGCTTAGATTTGTATTGAAACACATAGTTCCGTGGTTTGACGAATTTATTGAAACATCCATGCCAATTTGAAAGATATCTTGAATGTCTGTTTCAGTGTTGACCTTCTCCTCTACCAGGTCTTCCTAACAGATTGAAATATTAAGTGCGGCCGGGCGCGGTGGCTCAAGCCTGTAATCCCAGCACTTTGGGAGGCCGAGGCGGGTGGATCACGAGGTCAAGAGATCGAGACCATCCTGGTCAACATGGTGAAACCCCGTCTCTACTAAAACTACAAAAAATTAGCTGGGCATGGTGGCGCGTGCCTGTAGTCCCAGCTACTCAGGAGGCTGAGGCAGGAGAATTGCCTGAACCCAGGAGGCGGAGGTTGCGGTGAGCCGAGATCGCGCCATTGCACTCCAGCCTGGGTAACAAGAGCGAAACTCCGTCTAAAAAAAAAGAAATATTAAGTGCTTGACCAAGTGCGGTGGCTCACGCCTGTAATCCCAACACTTTGAGGGACTGAGGTGGGCGGATCACTTGAGGTCAGGAGTTAGAGAACAGCCTGGGCAATGTGGTGAAACCCCATCTCTACTAAAAATACAAACATTAGCCGAAGTGTGGTGGTGCACCTGTGATCCAGCTACTCAGGAGGCCGAGGCATGAGAATCACTAGAACCTGGGAAGCAGAGGCCGCAGTGAGCCGAGATCGCACCACTGTACTTCAGCCTGGACGACAGATCGAGACTCTGTTGTAAAACAAACAAACAAAAAGAAATATTAAGTGCTTGGCCGGGCGTAGTGGCTCACACCTGCAATCCAAGCACTTTGGAGGCCAAGTCGGGCGGATCACCTGAGGGCGGGAGTTCAAGACCTGCCTGACCAACATGGTGAAACCCTGTCTTTAAAAAAGAAAGAAATATTAAGTGCTTGTGTCATATCCTTAGATAAGTGAGGTGGTTGTGTCCTGTCCTAAGAAAAAGTGTAATTCATAACAAAGATCACATTTTTATTTCACTTGAGAGCTTCAATTCACCACTGTTCTCCCCTTGGCAGCTAAAGCCGTTGATGGATACGTGAAGCCACAGATCAAGCAAGTGGTCCCTGAGTAAGTGTCCAGGTGGCTCCGGCCCTCCTTCTGCCTCTTTCCTCCTCCCCCAGACCCTGCCTCCCGTCCTGATCCTGGGCCCAGCTCTCTGATCCCCCAGGAAACCTGACTCAGCCCTGGGGAGGGACCTGGGCTTGGTCATGCTGTGCCAGTACCCGAGGCCCCACTCCTGCAGCTGGAGTCCCAGGGCTGGGTGGGCACTTTGTCCTTCTATAGCCCAAGAAAGACAAAGATGCCCCTTGGTCCCCTCCCCAAGTCAGCTGCCCCGGCCTCCCTGGTGGCTGAGCTCTGTTCTCTTCCTTCTGCAGGTTTGTGAACGCATCTGCAGATGCCGGTGGGGGCAGCAGCGCCACATACATGGACCAGGCCCCCTCCCCAGCCGTGTGCCCCCAGGCTCACTATAACATGTACCCACAGAAGTAGGTGGCGTTCTCGTGGGGGTCCACAGAGGAGGAACTGGGGACTTGGACCCAGCCTGGACTCCTGGAGGGGTGGTGGGCAAAGAATCCAGAGCCACCCAATCCGGGTCCGGCCTCTAGCCCTTGGGAGGGAGAGATTTGACCAGAAATGATCAGTGGTTTAGAGTCGGGTTGGGCAGATATCATGTGTTCCCCTCTCTCAAAATGGAGGTGTTTCTTCCTCTAAGGACGGTAGAGTTGTGATGTGTCTGGACAGCCCGTGTGAGAGGTATGGGGAGGATGTTTCAGTCCAAGTTGCTGTACGCCAGCTGTTCGGATGGTAGTTCTTTCTCATGAAGCCCCAGGCCGAGGGCATAGGCTGGCTCAGACTGCCCCCCACCCACGTCCTGTGGGGCTTGGGGTGGTCTCTGACAGCCTTTCTCCCTCCCCTTCATCCCTCTTCTTTCCCTCCCAAGCCCTGACTCAGTCCTTGACACCGATGGGGACTTCGATCTGGAGGACACGATGGACGTGGCACGGCGCGTGGAGGAGCTCCTGGGCCGGCCGATGGACAGTCAGTGGATCCCGCACGCACAGTCGTGACCCTCGACCTCCCCGTCTGCCGCTTCTTCATCCTCGCCAGAGGAATCACTCTTGTGGATGTTTTAATTCCATGAATCGCTTCTCTTTGGAAACAATACTCATAATGTGAAGTGTTAATACTAGTGACTTTAGTGTTTCTGTGCATGGTGGCACCAGCAAAGGGAGTGTGAGTGTGTGTTTGTGTGTGCGTGTGTGTCTGCGTGTGCGTGTTTGCACTATGGTGTTTCTCCCTCTCACTGTCCGAGAGTGTAGCTGTAGCAGAGGGGCCACGGACAGAGGCTGTGGTGGTTTTTACTTTGTCAAAGAAGGCGGTCAGTTTCGTGAAGCCTGGAACTTGGCCATGTGTCTTAAGAGTGGCAGGACTTTGACATGGCGGCTGTTCTAGTAAGAGAAGGACAAAGGGAGGAGAAAGCATGTGTGCTCCTGTGAGTCTTCGTCACTCTGTCTGCCAAGCAATTGATATATAACCGTGATTGTCTCTGCTTTTCTTCCGAAATGTAGATAACTGCCTTTTGACAAAGAGAGCCTTCCCTCTCCCCCACCCCTGTGCTCTTGGGTAGGAATGGGAAAAGGGGCAACCTACAAAGACCGTCGGGGCAAGGGAAGTCACAGGTTTTCGGATGGGCTTTTCACGTGACACTTAGCCCACCCTAACACTCTCTCTTTGTCCTTTCCCCTCCTGCCCGCCCACACCCTGGAATTGCCACTCAGGTCCTCTGGGTGTGCACATATGCAGACATGTTTGGAGAAAAGAGGGCTGCACAGCTGAGAGCTGATGGTGCCGATGCCCTTTGTGTTCTGGCCAAAGCAGAGCACCCAGCCCCGACTCCCGGGTGCTGAGACCGTTGCCAGGTTACCCAGGAAGCTGCTGTTCCGGCTGCCCAGCCTTTCCCTGAGCCAGCGGATGCGCATTCCGAGGCGTTCTTCAGGCTTCTGGATAATACTTTTTGCAAATGTTGAATCATGTTTCTGTTTCTAAGCCAGATCTTTTTTGTTTTCCCCTTCCCACCCTAATTTGACATCAGAATTCTTCTGCATTGGGCCCTGGGTCATCCAAACCCAGGTCACCACATTCCCCTTTTCTGTTCATACATGGCATACTGAAGAGTAGGTGGCAGCAGTGTGGGCTGAACCTAGGCCAGCCTGCTCAACGGGTCACCCTGTGTGGGGTCCTGGGTGCCGGGTGTTGGTGATGTGGGGAAATGCAGTCACCAGGTTTGCTGGGGAGTTTGATTAAGTATAAAACGAAACAAAACAAAAAAGCCTCAGTATAATTTTGTTCCACAATTTTTTCTGTAGCTTTACACCAGAAGGAAGAAATGGGTTACGGCAGGCAGTGGGGGACGAGGGGGGTGAGCAGGTGTATTACAATAGCTTACGGGTAAGGCCTAAAAGGTCACCCTCGGCCCCCTCTCCAAAAGAAGGGCGTGACCACCCCCAGGAGAGGATGGCCCCAAAAACCTTATTTTTATACATGAGAGTAAATAAACATATTTTTTTTACAAAAATAACTTCTGAACTTATCAGTGTTTTGCTGTTAAAGAAAAATATTCCTCTATAGTAAATTATTTATTGGAAGATGACTTTTTTAAAGCTGCCGTTTGCCTTGGCTTGGTTTCATATATTGATTTATTTTTCTATGCCAGGCAGTAGAGTCTCTCTGCCTATGAGGAGCAGGCGACCCCCATCCCTCTCAGCCCCTCCCTCCCCCCCAGGATTTGAAAATTCCCACCACAAGGATGGGTGCGTCGGGGAAGGACGAGAAGGAGAGCCTGACTGCTCAGGGACCCAGGCTTAGAGAGACCCTCCCTGCCCACCACCCATAGATTCTTCACCGGCACCTGCCTCTGAGACCTCCCACTCTGTTCCAGCAACCCTGGGAGGGTCGGACTTGATACACTTTCAGGTTGGGAGTGGACCCAGCCCAGGGCCTGCTGAGAACAGAGCAGCCAGACAGTCCCGGGCTGCTTGGAGCTCACTTTGCAGTTGGCACTGGGTCTGGGAGGAAGATAGGCGATGAGTGTGGCTTCGCTGAGCGTGGGGTTCCCCTGCTCCTCCAGCTGTGAGCTGTCCTCGGTGTTACCGAGGCTGTGCCTAGAGAGGGGAGATTTTTGACAAAAGGTGTGTTTGCTCTCTGCGTTCTATCTTCTCTCTTCTCCCTGCCCCTGCAAACCACGAGGAAAGGTAGTGGTGTGTCTCCACCCCATCAGCCTCCCACCCACTCCCAGACACACACAAGTCCTCAAATGTTTCAGCTCCGTGTGTGGTACGTGCAGGGTTTTGTAGGGGGTAGGGGGAGACTAAAGTCAAATGAAAGTATACTTTTTATAATTTTTCTTTTTAAAACTTTGTGAAATTATTTCAGATACATATTTTAGTGTCAAGGCAGATTAGTTATTTAGCCACCAAAAAAAAAGTATTGTGTACAATTTGGGGCAGTCACAAAATTGTGTATTTTATGTTACAATAAAGGCTTCCTCTGAAGGGATGGGATTGAGTCCTGTTGTTACTTTTTTCTGTCATGTGCCAAGGGAGGGCAGCTTGAACAGGGAAAAGTTTCAGGTCATCAGCATGACCCTGAAAAAGGGAACTGGTCAGGAATTGGCTGCCTCAGAGGGCAAGTCATTAGCTCTGATGGTAGATGGGGACTTTCATACCTTTCTGCTCATGTGATGTTTTGAAAATGAGAATGATGGTCTTCATCTTCTAGCCTCCTGACTCTGGAAAGCTCATCCTTAAGATTCAGCACATTTAGGGTACCTGGCCGTGAGTTCAGCATTGTGTGTGGGATGAGAACTGGTTCCTTCCTGCAGAGGCTCACAGTTGGAGAAATAGCTAGCACAACTGATAAAGCCAGGATGTTGGTTCCTGCTGCAGTCAAGGCATCCCAAAGTCATTACGCAAAAGAACATGCAATGAGCATGACACTGAGCAACTCCAGCTGATTCTTTTTTTGAGAGTGAGTCTTGTGCTGTCGCCCAGGCTGGAGTGCAGAGTGGCATGATCTCAGCTCACTGCAACCTCCGCTTCAGAGGTTCAAGATACTGTTGTGCCTCAGCCTCCTGAGTAGCTGGGATTACAGGTGCCACCATGTCCAGCTCACTTTTGTATTTTTAGTAGAGACAGGGTTTCACCATGTTGGCCAGGCTGGTCTTGACCTCCTGATCACAGATGATCCACCTGCCCCGGCCTCCCAAAGTGCTGGGATTACAGGCGTGAGCCACTGTGCCTGGCCATCCACTGCACCTGGCCCTATTTTTTTTTTTTTTTGAGTCAGCTCGAGGCTGGGCACAGTGGTTCACACCTGTAATCAATCCCAGCATTTTGGGAGCCCGAGGCAAGTGGATCACCTGAGGTCAGGAGTTTGAGACCAGCCTGGCTAATATGGTGAAACCCCCTTTCTACTAAAAAATATGAAAAATTATCCAGGCATGGTGGTACGTACCTGTAATCCCAGCTACTTAGGAACTTAGGAGGCTGAGGCAGGAGAATCGCTTGAACCTGCGAGGTGGAGGTTATAGTGAGCCGAGATCGTACCTTTGCACTCCACCTTGGGCAGCAAGAGCGAAATTGTCTCAAAAAAAAAAAAAAAAGAAAAAAGGAGTGAAGAAAACATAAGGCTAGCACAGCTAAAGGCCTAGACAGGCTGAGGCAGGAGAATCACCTGAAACTGGGAGGTGGAGGTTGCAGTGAGCCAAGGTTGTACTACGACACTCCAGCCTGGTGATAGGGCCAGACTCCGTCTCACAAAAAAAAAAAAAAAAAATTGCAGTAACTGAAATGAAAAATTTGCTAGAGAGTCTCAGATTTCAAAAGGCAGGAGATAGCAAACTTGAAGACAGATTCATGGAAATTATATACAATATCAAACACAGGAAAAAAAAAGTCTGGGCCAGGCGCAGTGGCTCACTTGTGTAATCCCAACACTTTGGGAACCTGAGGCAGATGGATCATTTGAGGCCAGGAGTTCGAGAGCAGCCTGGCCAACATGGTGAAACCCCATCTCTACTAAAAATATAAAAAATTAGCTGGGCATGGTGGCAGGTGCCTGCAATCCCAGCAGTCACTTGAGTGCAGCAGTTCAGACCAGCCTGGACAACCTGGTAAAATCCCATCTCTACAAAAAAAATACAAACATTAGCTGGACGTGCCAGTACACCCCTGTAGGCCCAGCTACTCAGGAGGCTGAGGTGGGACGATCACTTGAGCTGTGATGACGCCACTGCACTCCAGCCTGGGTGACAGAGCGAGAAAAAAGAAGCCACGTACAAAAGACCACATATTATATGATGCCATTTACAGGAAATGTCTAGGATAGGCAAATCTATGGAGACAGAAAGTAAACTTGAGGTTGCCAAGAGGCTGGGAAAGAGCATGGAGGGAATAGTGAAAGGGTCCAGGGTTTGGGGTTTTTTGTGTGTTTTTTTGTTTTTCTTGAGACCAAGTGTGGCTTTGTCGCCCAGGCTGGAGTGCAGTGGTGCCATCTCAGCCCACTGCAACCATCGCCTCCTGGGTTCAAGCGATTCTCCTGCCTCAGCCTCCCGAGTAGCTGGGACTACAGGGATGTGCCACCACACCTGGCTAATTTTTGTCATTTTTAGTAGAGACGGGGTTTTGCCATGTTAGCCAGGCTGGTCTTGAGCCCCTGACCTCAGGTTATCCACCCACCTCGGCCTCCCAAAGTGCTGGGATTATAGGCATGAGCCACCACACACCGCCTTGGCTTGGGGGGGTTTATTTTATTTTATTTTATTTTACTTATGTATTTAATGAATTGGGCAGACACCTGAGCTAGAGTAGGCTCAGAGAGACTCCCCAGGGTTTATTTTTGAGGTGATGAAAATGTGATAAGTGTCTGTGGTGTTGGTTGCACATATCTCTGGATATACTAGCTCTTGAATTGTACACTAAATGAGTGATTTGTAAGGTGTGTGAATTATATCTAATAAAGCTGTTATTGGGTCAGACCGAGTGGCTCACACCTGTAATCCCAGCACTTTGGAAGGCCAAGTTAGGAAGATCACTAAGACCAGGAATTCCAGTCCAGCATGGTCAACATAGTAAGACCCCTGTCTAAAAACAAATTTTTTTTTCTTTTTTTTTTTTTTGAGATGGAGTTTTGCTCTTGTTACCCAGGCTGGAGTGCAATGGCACGATCTCGGCTCACCGCAACCTCCGCCTCCCGGGTTCAGGCAATTCTCCTGCCCCAGCTTCCTGAGTCGCTGGGATTATAGGCATGCGCCACCATGCCCAGCTAATTTTTTGTATTTTTAGTAGAGACGGGGTTTCACCATGTTGACCAGGATGGTCTCGATCTCTTGACCTCGTGATCCACCCGCTTCAGCCTCCCAAAGTGCTGGGATTACAGGCTTGAGCCACCGCGCCCGGCAACAAATTTTTTTTAATTAGCTGGATGTGGTGGCACATTCCTGTAGTCCTAGCCACTCAGAGGCTAAGGTGGGAGGATCGCCTGATCCCAGGAGTTCAATGTTGCAATGCCACTGAACTCCAGCCTGGGCAATAGCGCGAGACCCCGTCTCTAAATAAATAAATAATAAAAGCAAATGCAAGACCTCAGCAAGAAAAAAAGTGAAAGTGAGGTGAGTTAGCCAGAGAGTGAGAACTGACCTGTTCAAAGAAGCTCAGCTGTGACGAGGAGAGGTACTCAGCAGGTAGTACCTCTCTTCTCAGAGGTACCCGGAGGCCAGTGAGAGGAGGAAGGGAGTGTCCTCGTGTTGTGAGGGCCTACATCAAGAGCACACAACCTGGGCAACATAGGGAGGTCCCGTCTCTACAAAAAATAAAATTAGCTGAGAGTGGTGCTGCACATCTGTAGTTCCAGCCACTCTGGAGGCTGAGGCAGGAGGATCACTTGAGCCCAGGAGGTCAAGGTTGCAGTGAGCTATGATCGCGCCACAGCACTCCAGTCAGGTAACAGAGCAAGACTCTGTCTCCAAAAAAAAAAAGAGAGAGAAGTTTGTAATTTTCTTTGGGATAAAGCCAGTAAGCTAACACGGATGGTCACCCAGTAACCAGGTAAAGTTAAGATAAACTATATGTGACTGGCTGGGCGCAGTGGCTCACGCCTGTAATCCCAGCACTTTGGGAAGCCAAGTGAATCACTTGAGGTCAGGAGTTCAAGACCAGCCTGGCCAACATGGTGAAATGCTGTCTCTACTAAAAATACAAAATTTAGCTGGGCATGGTGGCACAAGCCTATAATCCCAGCTACTTGGGAGGCTGGGGCAGAAGTATTGCTTGAACCCGGGAGGTGGAGGTTGCAATGAGCCGAGATTGTGCCACTGCACTCTAGCCCAGGCGACAGAACAAGACTTGTCTCAAAAAAAAAAAAAAAGATTAACTATATGTGACAAGTAGTATCATCAAGTCCTCTTACTTGAGGACTGGTTATTGTTTATCTTGAAAGCATATATGTAATAGGTTGTATGCACTTGGCTATACCAAAAAGTGAGATTTCCTTCCGACTCTGCAAGCTCTTAGCAGATCACCTGTCATGCACATCACATTCTGGTTGAATGTTTATTCGATCATAAAATTGTTTTCTTTCTCTACTCCCTGGAGGGAGAAAATTTCTGAGTTGGGAGAGCTGGGGTTTTAAGAGTTCTCAAGCCTGAGCCTGCTTGAGGGAAAAGTGTGCCCTCCCAGCTCAGCGGTGCTCTTTCCCACACACACCTTTCTCTTCCTTCACCTGCATGAGTTTCAGGCCATGCCAGTCTGGCCCTAACTCCCTCAACTGCCAGCCTGGGCTGGCACCCAACCTATAGTCCCGTAGGCAACCTGCCCCTTTAAGAGCACCCCCCGACCCCCGAAGCTCCTCCCTCAGGCCTGGTGGCCGGATTTCCCAGTTGGAGCCCAGCCCTTTAAAGTCCTCGCTCCTTCTTTCTGGCCGGATATGTGCTGAGACCCAGGGGCCTCCGTGCTGTGCCGGGAGTAGGCAGAAGCGGACTGTGACAGGTGCATGTGGGTATGGACCCCACAGGAGGGCTCAGGAGGGACAAGGAGCTGGGACAGGGTGGATCCCGAGGGAAAGCAAAGCCACTAGGGAGTGGGCAAGAGATGCTGTTAATCAGCTGCTGTGGCCCGACACTGTGCCAGGCCTTCCTGTACCTTCCCTTCCTGTGCCTTTTTTTCTTTCTTTCTTATTTTTTTTTTGAAACAGCATCTCACTCTGTTGCCCAAGCTGGAGTGCAGTGGCACAATCTCAGTTCACTGCAGCCTCAATCTCCTGGGCTCAAGGGATCCTCCTATCTCAGCATCCCAAGCAGCTGGGACTATGGGTGTGCTACCACGCTGGGCTAGTTTTTCAAATTTTTGGAGATAGAGTCTCCCTATGTTGCCCAGGCTGGTTGCAAACTCCTGGGCTCAAGAGATCCTCCTGCCTCAGCCTCCCAAAGTGCTGGGATTACAGGTGTGAGCCACTCACCCAGCCTGCCCCCACTTTCTGAGAGAGGTATTCTTATTCCCATTTTTCAGATCAGGAAATGGAGCTCAGTGCAGCCCACTGAATTACTCGGGGCCCTGCAGCTAACATAGGCAGAGGCAGGATCTGAACTCAGATCAGTGGGACTCCAAAGCCTTGATAGTCTCTCCTCTGCATCCCCTGTCCCACAACGCCTTCTTCCCAAACTTCATTTTTCCTTGGTTTTCCTGTATGCAGTATAGTATGGGGGAAGAAATGGGTATTTCCTAGGCCGGGCGCAGCAGCTCACGCCTGTAATCCCAGCACTTTGGGAGGCCAAGGTGGGCGGATCACCTGAGACCAGGAGTTCAAGACCAGCCTGACCAACACGGAGAAACCCCATCTCTACTAAAAAATACAAAAATTAGCCAGGCATGGTGGTGCATGTGTGTGATCCCAGCTACTCCGGAGGCTGAGGCAGGAGAATCTCTTGAAACTGGGAGGCAGAAGTTTCGGTGAGCCAAGATGGCACCATTGCACTCCAGCCTGGGCAACAAGAGCGAAACTCCATCTCAAAAAAAAAGAAATGGGTAATTCCTGCATGTCCCCATATCTGGGTTCTGTTCTCCTCCCAGGAGCTGCTTGGAGATGCTGCTGTGGCCACTTCTGCTGCTTCTGCTGCTGCTGCTGCCAACATTGGCCCTGCTCAGGCAGCGGCGGTCCCAGGATGCCAAGCTGTCTTGGCTTGCTGGCCTCCAGCACCAAGTGGCATGGGGTGCCCTGGGCTGGGCAGCCACCTGGCAGCGGCGGAAGCTGGAGCAGAGCACGCTCCACATGCACCAGAGCCAGCAGCAGGCCCTGAGGTGGTGTCTACAGGGAGCCCAGCGTCCCCACTGTCCCCTGAGGGGGAGCACAGGTGTGTTTTCCAGGGTCTGGGAAGGTGACCCCAAGAGAAAGAAACCGCACAGGACCGTCAGATTCCAGAGCCTAATGGCCCCCTTGCCTCCTGCACTGCCAACAGAGTGCCCTGACCCAGACGCCCATAACTGGCTCTCTTGTCCAAGATGAATTTCCCATGCTGGGTCCTTATATCTCCTCTACCCCAGGCCTAGTCTCAGCTCCTCCCTCAAGGAACTCACCAGTCTTGCCTGAAACTCTTGGGAAACTGTGGCTTCCTAAGGCATTTCTGTTGTCATTGGGGCTACAGACATAAGCACCTTCCGGAATCATCTCCCTTTGACCAAGGCCAGCCAGACCCAGGAGGAAGAGAGAGGAGAGCAGCTACTGCCCCCAACCTCACACCAGGACCTGGGGGAGGCCTCTCTGCAGGTAACTAGGATCCCCAGAGCCCAGTCCCACCCGCCAAACCCCCCTATCACGGTGGGAAAGAACCCTCAAACTGGGGGCTCCGGGTCTGGCCCTGACACCAGGCTGGCATGCTCTCTTCCTCCTCAGGCCACCTTGCTGGGTCTGGTAGCCCTAAACAAGGCCTACCCAGAAGTGCTGGATCAGGGCGGTGCTGCCTGTCTGACCCTCACATCCCCTTGGCCCCGATCCCTGCCTTGGCCTGGGAAGGCCCTGGGCCGGGTTAGCACCCCTGGAACCAAGGACCCTAGGGTCCTCCTGCTGGAGGCACTGAGGTCCCCAGGGCTGAGGGCACTGGAGGCCGGGACCGCGGTCGAACTCCTGGATGTCTTCTTGGGCCTGGAGGCTGACGGTGAAGAGCTGGCAGGGGCGATAGCTGCGGGGAACCCTGGAGCGCCTCTCCCTGAACGGGCAGCTGAGCTGCGGGAGGCCCTAGAGCAGGGACCCCGAGGACTGGCTCTTCGGCTATGGCCAAAGCTGCAGGTGGTGGTGACTCTGGATGCAGGAGGCCAGGCCGAGGCTGTGGCTGCCCTCGGGGCCTTGTGGTGCCAAGGACTAGCCTTCTTCTCTCCTGCTTATGCAGCCTCTGGAGGTCAGTGGGATTCAAGGGCAGTGAGGTGGGGGCAAAGGTCAGAAGTCACATAGCAAGCAGCCATGCATTGGATCCTACATGGTCATATCATTTAATTGTTCCCAGCATGCTGTATGCTGGGGTCAGCAGCCTCCTTTTACAAGTGAAGAAACATAGGCTCATATAGGTTAAGATTCTTGGCCAGGCACGGTGGCTCACGCCTATAATCCCAGCACTTTGGGAGGCCGAGGCGGGTGGATCGCAAGGTCAAGAGATCGAGACCATCCTGGTCAACATGGTGAAACCCTGTCTCTACTAAACATACAAAAAAATTAGCCGAGCACGGTGGTGCATGCCTGTAGTCCCAGCTACTCAGGAGGCTGAGGCAGGAGAATTGCTGGAACCCAGGAGGCGGATGTTGCGGTGAGCCGAGATCGCGCCATTGCACTCCAGCCTTGGTAACAAGAGGGAAACTCCATCTCAAAAAAAAAAAGAGTCTTGCGGCCGGGTGCGGCGGCTCACACCTGTGATCCCAGCACTTTGGGAGGCCGAGGCAGACAGATCACTTGAGGTCAGGAGTTCCAGACCAGCCTGGCCAACATGGGGAAACCCCGTCTCTACTAAAAATACAAAAACTAGTGCCGCATGGTGGCACATGCTTGTAATCCCAGCTACCTGGGAGGCTGAGGTGGGAGGATTGCTTGAACCTGGGAGGAGGAGGTTGTAGTGAGCCAAGATTACACCATTGCCTACAGCTTGGGCGACAAAGCAAGACCCTGTTTCAAAAAAAAAAAAAAAAGGCCAGGCACAGTGGCTCACGCATGTAATCCCACTACTTTGGGAGGCCAAGGCAGGTAGATCACTTGAGGTCAGGAGTTCGAGACCAGCCTGGCCAACATGGTGAAACCCCATCTCTACTAAAAATACAAAAATTAGCCAGGTGTGGTGGCACACGCCTGTAATCCCAGCTACTCTGGAGGCTCAGGCAGGAGAATCACTTGACTCCAAGAATCACTGAATCACTGAGCTGAGGTCACACCACCACTGCACTCCAGCCTGGGTGACAGAGCGGGACTCTGTCTCAAAAAAAAAAGAAGAAGAAAAGAGTCTTACACAAATTTATGTGGCACCAGGATTCACTCCCAGGTCTCCCACCTCCTCTTTCCAGTGAGGGCCTAAGAGGCAGCCTGCTGAGCGTGGGGGAGCCAAGAAGGATGGGGTGGAAGGGCAGCAGGAGGACCAGGTGCTCAGAAGATCGGGCCTGGGGTCCAGGAGGGGCTATTGCCTGGCAGAAAGCAATGGCACCAGCAGACACTGAGGAAGCTGCTTGGCTTCCACAGGGGTGCTCTGCCTAAACCTACAGCCAGAGCAGCCCCACAGGCTCTACCTTCTGCCGCCTGGACCCCTCTTTATCGAGCTGCTCCCAGTCAAGGAAGGCACCCAGGAGGAAGCTGCCTCTACCCTCCTTTTGGCTGAGGCCCAGCAGGGCGAGGAGTATGAGCTGGTGCTGACGGACCGTGCCAGCCTCACCAGGTGATTACCTGCACAGCCCCTACCTCGGGCCCTCTGGGTTGCTTGGCGCCTGGAGCATGAGCTCAGGAGCCCTCAGGCCCGACCTCACTCCCACTCGCACCCCATCAGGTGCCGCCTGGGCGATGTGGTGCAAGTGGTTGGTGCCCACAATCAGTGTCCAGTTGTCAGGTTCATCTGCAGGTAGGTGACCCTGGGGAGCGGAAGGGCCATCCTTGTGTCCTGGGCTCCACAGCCTCTCCCTGCCTCCTCTTCAGGCTGAGCCAGACCCTGAGTGTGCGAGGGGAAGATATTGGTGAGGACCTGTTCTCTGAGGCCCTGGGCCAGGCAGTGGGGCAGTGGCCAGGGGCCAAGCTGCTGGACCATGGCTGTGTGGAGAGCAGCATTCTGGGTGAGCTTCCCTGCCGGCTCCTGCCTACCATTCTTGGGCTGGCTACCCTTCAACTCCAAAGCTTTGATAGTCTCTCCTCTGCATCACCTGTCCCAGTGGGCCTGCCTTCTTCCCAAACTTCATTTTTCCCTGGTTTTCCTGTATGCAGCAAAGTGTGGGGGAAGAAATGGGTAATTCTGCATGGGAGTGGACCCCAGCCCAGCCATTCCCCCACTTCCCCTGCTAGGAAAGAGGTAAGAGTCCGCTTCCTTTGCCACTCCTACAAAAGTGCTTCCCTGCATCTAACACTCAACCATCCTGCTGCAGTTTCTACCCATTTTCTTTCCTGCTCTGTCTCCTATTTAGGATCAAGCTCTATGTCCCTCTCTATCTACCCCACTCCCCAACAAGAAACTTTTTTCCCTGTGAACCTGAGTGGGGAAGAACAGGTGGTGGCAGAGGGCACTGGACTTGGCAGCTGCCCGTTCACTGGAAGTATGTTTGCACGTGGGGTCTGTTCACAGATTCTGCTGTGGGCTCTGCTCCCCACTACGAGGTGTTTGTGGAGCTGAGGGGGCTGAGGAATCTGTCGGAGGAAAATCGAGACAAGGTAAAGGAGACGAGGCCAGGGTCTGCCTGTAGTCCCCTTCACTGTCACACTCCCAGGGTGCCATGGAGATCAGGCTTGATGGGGAGGGGAGGGGCGGGGGAGAAGAAGCTCCCTGGGGTTCTGGGAGGAGAGGGATGACTCCCACAGACACACACCTGTCCACCCAGAACTTCTAAACGTGTAGCCTGGGCACAGCCACGCACGCCTTGTGTGCGCACTCACGATCACACACTAGCTCACTCAAGCCGTTCTGTTCCCAGCTGGACCACTGCCTTCAGGAAGCTTCTCCCCGCTACAAGTCCCTGCGGTTCTGGGGCAGCGTGGGCCCTGCTAGAGTCCACCTGGTGGGGCAGGGGGCCTTCCGAGCACTCCGGGCAGCCCTTGCTGCCTGCCCCTCCTCCCCATTCCCCCCTGCGATGCCTCGGGTCCTTCGGCACAGGCACCTGGCCCAGTGTCTGCAGCAGAGGGTGGTGTCCTGAGTCAACGCCTGCCCTACCGGCCAGCTCCTCTCTCTCAGACCTCTCTGGATGGGGAGTCCTTGGCCGGGGTCTGTGACTCTGTGTCACCTGACATTTGCCCATGAGAGCCGCTGGGCCTTAGGGAGGCCTTGGCCCAGCTGACCAATTCTGAGGCATGGGCCTCCAGGGTTAGCAGACACCAGCAGCGCATGCCCGTGTCCCCGGGTCCTGGCATGGCAGACACTGCCAGAGCTCCCATGGATGCCGATAGTTTCCTGTGTCACAGCCCGACGGGCTTCTGGCGGCCACAACCGTGTGCTCAGTCCGTGCACTGGGCAGGCTGGAATTGTTGGGGGGTTAATGTCCCCAGGAGCAACCCTGAGTCAATAAGGAGCAGGACCTCAGCTTCATTGTCCTTGAGCGGGACAATTCTGAAGCGTATTCTACATAAAGTCTCGGAGGATGCCCAACAGGATGGAGTCCCCGCCGCCCAAAGCAGTAACCCACTCATTCATGTACTTCCTGCGGGGCTCCTCACCTGCCTCCCTTCCCCGCTCCCTCCTTGGGCTTCCTGGGATGCTCCCAAATAAACCTCTCGCAGCCAGATTCTTGCCTCAGGGTCTGCTTTGGGGAAACTGGGGAGTGGACCGTGGCTCCGGGTCTGGTCTGGGCCTGGCTAGGCCCTGACTGCGCGTGCACACAGGAGCCTTTGGGGACAGCGAGCACCTCCTGGGCCAGCACCCACAAGCCACTTCTGCGGTGGGAACAAGAGACCGATTGCTTCACACCGTAAGGCATTGAAGCAGGAAGCAGCCCCTGAGACCATCTGGGTTAACTGTTCTATGCCAATGAGGAAACGCAGCCTCCACAGGTTTGTAGAGGCTAAAATAAAAGAAAGAAAGAAACTGGGCTTGATTTTGTCTTCCCTCCCTCCCCCTGCCTGGGCTGAGTTTTTAAGATTTTCCATCTGGGAGGCTGCGGGAAGGGGCAGACCAAGACCCTCCAGCTCCTCCTGAGTAGAGGCCGCACTGGTTCCAGATGGCTCTGAATGGCTTCTCCATTCCATGTCCCCATATCCAGGCTCTTGCTGCAAGCCTCCCAGACCCCGCCTCAGCCTGTCACTCTGTCCTAAAATCCTCCCATGGGCCAGCCAGGTGCAGTGGCTCACGCCTGTAATCCCAGCACTTTGGGAGGCTGAGGCAGGTGGATCACGAGATCAAGAGTTCAAGACCAGCCTGGCCAAGATGGTGAAAATCGTTTCTACTAAAAATACAAAAATTAGTCAGGCCTGGTGGCACACGCCTGTAATCCCAGCTACTCAGGAGCCTGACGCAGAGAATCACTTGAACTCGGGAGGAGGAGGTTGCAATCAGATGAGATGGCGCCACTGCACTCCAGCCTGGGTGACAGACTGAGACACTGTCTTAACAACGAACAAAAATCCTCCCCTGAAGCTGGGCACAGTGGCATGGGCCTGTAGTGGCAAGAGGCTGAGATGGAAGGATGGTTCACGCCCAGGAGTTCAAGACCAGCCTGGGCAACACAGCGAGACCATCCCGGGAAAAAAAAAATCCTCCTATAGTGGCTTCCATCACCCACAGGATTAAGATCAATCAGCTTGGCCTATAAGACCCTTTGACCTTGGCCCCCACCTACTTGTCCAGCTACCTCTCTCCCCTTGCTTGAAAGAAGTCCTGGACTAAGCCGGGCGCGGTGGCTCAAGCCTGTAATCCCAGCACTGTGGGAGGCTGAGGCGGGTGGATCACGAGGTCAAGAGATCGAGACCATCCTGGTCAACATGGTGAAACCCCGTCTCTACTAATAAAAAATACAAAAAATTAGCTGGGCATGGTGGCACGTGCCTGTAATCCCAGCTACTGAGGAGGTTGAGGCAGGAGAATTGCCTGAACCCAGGAGGCGGAGGTTGCGGTGAGCCGAGATCGCGCCATTGCACTCCAGCCTGGGTAACAAGAGTGAAACTCCGTCTCAAAAAAAAAAAAAAAAAAAAAAAAAAGAAGTCCTGGACTAAAGACCACACCTCACCTCTAACCCTTAGGTTGCTAAGCGTTAACTCCAGGCATTTCCTCAAGTTGTCCCCTCTACGGAATGCCTTCCTTCCTGCTGCCCCTGATATAACCCTAGTTTTCACGCAGCGTCTTTGAGGACCCCTACCAGGCCCACTCCAGGCAGAGTGACTGGCTCAACTTTGCCCGTGTGGGCTGCAGTCCTCTCCCTCACTGAACTCTCATTATGTTTGAACTGCCTCCCACCTGCACTTATAAGCTCCTTGGAGACTGGGCCAGGTCCTGTGCACAGCTGCTCCCATGCCCAGTGCCTGGTGTGGCACACAGCAGGAGCTCAATAAAGAGGTTGTAGACCAGGCACGGTGGCTCAGGCCTGTTATCCCAGCACTTTGGGAGGCTGAGGTGGGTGGATCACCTGAGGTCAGGAGTTCAAGACCAGCCTGGCCATAATGGTGAAACCCCATCTTTAAAAAAAATACAAAATACAAAATACAAAAACCTAGCTGGGCATGGTGGCTCTCACCTGTAATTCCAACTACTTGGGAGGCTGAGGCAGGAAAATTGCTTGAACTCGGGAGGCAGAGGTTTCAGTGAGCCGAGATGGCACCATTGCACTCCAGCTTGGGGAAAAGGAGCAAAACTCTGTCTCAAAAAAAAAAAAAAAAAAGAAGAGGTTGTGAATAAGAGACGACCAGGCCTGGAGATGCCATGTGTCCATCCTGCAGTGTAGCTCAGTCCCTGTTGATGGTGGAGTGGGACCACATCCCTCCCCTCCAGGCAGCCTGAGCCAGGGAAAAAGCTGGGGAGGTAGAAGAAGCTTCTACCAGTTTCTGGTAGAAACTGAGTTTGGTTAGGCACAGTAGCTCACACCTATAATCCCAGCACTTTGGGAGGCCGAAGGGAGAGGGTGGCTTGAGCCAGGGGTTTGAGACCAGTCTGGGAGACCCAGTCTCTACAAACAAATTTAAAAATTAGCCAGGCATGGTGGCAACAAATCTGTGGTCCCAGGTACTTGGGTGGCTGAGGTGGGAGCTTTGCTTGAGCCCCGGTAATGGATGCTGCAGTGAGCTATGATTGTCCCACTGCACTGCGGGCTGAGCGACAGAGTGTAGCCCTGTCAAGAAAGAAAATAACGAGAGAAAAGGAGAGAGTGAGAGAGAGAAAGAAGAAATGCAAGAAGGAAGGAAGGAAGGAAGGGAGGAAGGGAGGGAGAGAGGGAGGGAAGGGAAAAAAGAGGCTGGGTGTGGTGGCTCACGCCTGTAATCCCAACACTTTGGGAGACTGAGGTGGATGGATCACTTGAGGTCAGGAGTTTGAGACCAGCCTGGCCAACATGGTGAAACCCCGTCTCTATTAAAAATACAAAAGTTAGCTGGTCATGGTGGCGCGTGCCTGTAATTCTAGCTACTAGAATGCTGAGGCAGGAGAATCACTTGAACCTAAGGCGGAGATTGCAGTGAGCTGAGATGATCATATCATTGCACTCCAGCCTGAGCAACAAGAGCAAAACTGAGACATACACACACACACACACACACACACACACATACACACACACCCCAAGAAAAGAAAGAGAAACTAAACCGTGCTTGGTTTTGGCTTCCTAACCTTCCACTGCCTAGGCTGGGTTTTCAAAGTTCTCCATCTCAGAGGCTAGTGGAAGGGGCAGAAGGGCAGAAGAAAGCTAGCAGGAGGCGGGCAGCTAAGGAACATTTTCATGAAGGAAGAAGGCCCTGGAGCCTGACAGTCCCCAAGGGCAGTGACAACAAGCAGGGGAGGGAGAGGGCTGTTGCTGGCTGCTCCACCCCCGACACACATAATGTGGGGTCTCGCAGTGGCCTCTTCTCTCACCCTAATTAGCAGCTGCCTTCCCCCCACATTGTCCCAGGCCAGCGCCTCTTTTGTGCTCCCAGATTCCTGGGTGCAAGGTGGCCTCATTAGTGCCTGGAGACCGCCCCATCTCCAGGGAGCAGGCAGACAGACAAGGGGGTGACTGGGGCCACAGTGATCCAACCCTGGTCTCCAAATGCCGCAGCGGCCATTCCTTGGGCCCAGCCTGGAGACGGCCCCCATGCAGGAGGCTAATCTTAGACTTGCCTTTGTCTGGCCTGGGTGTGGACGCAAGTGCCTGTCTCTTCCCCCTGCCACCTCAGAGCACTATAAACCCCAGACCCCAGGGAGTGGGTCACAATTGACCGCCTCAAGGTTCCCGGCTATTTGAACCACCGCGGACACCTCCGTTCCTGGCTACCCCACCCTGAGCGCCAGACACCATGAACCTTCCTTCCACAAAGGTAAAGGCCGGGGGACGGAGAGGATTCATCATACCAGAGAGGCCATCAGAGGGCCTGCTCAGAGGGCTGGAAGAAAGGCCGAAGGTGCCTCCATGCTTGGTCTTTTCCTGGGTGTGCTCTGAGGCAGGAACACCCGGCTTGGCTAACCCTGGGTTGGGTTCTGCTTTCCAAAGAGCCTATGCTTGCTGAGCGCTTCCTATGTGTCAGGCGCTCCGTTTGCACCTGTCATCTCTTTTCATCCTCCCGACAGCCCTGTAAAATAGGAATTATTTCTAGTATATCCAGTTTACAGGTAAGGAAGCTGTGCCCTCTAAAAGGCAGGAAACTGGTTCAAAGCCATGGAGTTCAGTTATTCCTGCAAGGAAGCAGGCAGAGACAAGAAAGCATTCTGGAGTCCTGCTAGCTCCTCATTTCCACGTGTTTCCCTGCTGGAGAGGAGGTGGGGAAGGAGGACTCAGTAAGGCCCCTGTTTTTCCTACGTTTACAACTTCTGCTGCAGACAGACAGGCCTGTTTTGTTTTGTTTTGTTTTGTTTTTGTTTTTTTGAGACGGAGTTTCGCTCTTGTTACCCAGACTGGAGTGCAATGGCGCCATCTCGGCTCACCGCAACCTCCGCCTCCTTGGTTCAGGCAATTCTCCTGCCTCAGCCTCCTGAGTAGCTGGGATTACAGGCACCTGCCACCATGCCCAGCTAATTTTTTGTAGTTTTAGTAGAGACGGGGTTTCACCATGTAGACCAAGATGGTCTTGATCTCTTGACCTCGTGATCCACAAGCCTCGGCCTCCCAAAGTGCTGGGATTACAGGCATGAGCCACCGCGCCCGGCCCAGACAGGCCTGTTTTTAGGAGGAGTGGTAAGTGTACTAGTGGGAGCACAGTGGACTAAGTCTTCAGAGGAGAGGGGGATTCACTCTGTCCAGGGGTCTCAAAAGGCTTCCTGGGGCCGGGAGCGGTGACTCACGCCTGTAATCCCAGCACTTTGGGAGGCCGAAGCGGGTGGATCACCTGACCAGCCTGGCCAACATGGTGAAACCATGTCTCTAAAAAATAAATAAGTAAATAATAAAAGGCGTCCTGGAGGAGATTCTCTGCTGGGTCTTCAGCGAGTAGCTGGTAAAGTAGGCCGATACGAGCAAGGGCACAGAGCTAGGAAAACTAAGTGACAGTCAGAGAGGAGCGCAGGCCAGGAGGGGGCGCGAAGCCAGCAGGACGGGTCCTGGGCGCGGGAGCTGATGGCGGGAGCCATGGGAAGACCCCTAGCGCCCTGTCTCCGCCTCCCTAGGTCTCCTGGGCCGCCGTGTCGCTACTGCTGCTACTGCTGCTGCCGACCGCGCTGCTGTCGCCCGGGGTGGCTGCACAGCCCCTGCCCGACTGCTGTCGTCAAAAGACGTGCTCCTGCCGCCTCTACGAGCTGCTGCACGGCGCGGGCAATCACGCGGCCGGCATCCTCACCCTGGGCAAGCGGCACTCCGGGCCCCCGGACCTCCAGGGCCGGCTGCAGCGCCTCCTGCAGGCCAGCGGCAACCACGCCACGGGCATCCTGACCATGGGCCGCCGCGCAGGCGCAGAGCCAGCGCCGCGCCCCTGCCCTGGGCGCCGCTGTCCCGCCGCGGCCGCCGTATCCGTCGCGCCCGGGGGACAGTCCGGGATCTGAGTCGTTCTTCGGGTCCTGTCCTGGTCCAGGCCTCTGCCCTCTGCCCACCCAGCGTCAGCACCCAGAAAAACGGCAATAAAGACGAGTCTCCGTGCGTGTGGCTGGTCTCTGTTCCTGTGCGGTCGCGTCCTGCCCTTTTGAGGCGGCAGTGCGTCTTGCGAAGGCGGGAGGGCCTGGGAGCCTGGCTCTGGGGCACCAGCCTTAGCTTTTGCGTGGCTGAATTGGAAACACTGTTGGTTGGGGAGCTCCCAGTGCCAGGCCCTGGAGCACAGAGAGAACCGCACACTTGCATGCTCGGATCGGGACATGCGGGACTCCCACGATGCTCTCCTAGGCATTCTGTAGCGGGAACTTTACCCAGAGACACGGAAGGGGAAGGAGAGAAAGAAAGGTTGCACAGGTCGGGCACAGTATTCATGCCTGTAATCCCAGCGCTTTAAGAGGCCAAAGCAGGAGGATCGCTTGAAGCAAGGAGTTCCAGACCAGCCTAGGCAACATAGTGAGTGAGACATCTCTCCAAAAGTTTTTTTAATTAGCCAGGCATGGTGGCACTCGCCTATAGTCCCAGCTACTCAGGAGGCTAAAGCGGGAGGATCATTTGAGCCCAGGAGTTTGAGTTTGAGGCTGCAGTGAGCCATGATTGGGCCACTGCATTCCAGTCTGGGCCACAGAACGAGACATCGTCAAAGAAAGAATAAGACTGCATAGAGGAGCAGAATCCAGCTAGGAAGGGGTGGGAGTTGATCCTTCAACAATGAGTCATCCAGAATGGCTGGCTGCACCATGGGGTATAGGGTGTGGGGAGTGGAGAAGCTCGGGAAAGGGACAGGGTTACAGTCAGTGCAGCCCAGCTCGCAAAGGCTCTCACAAATCATCAGGCTTTGCACTTTAGCTTGTAGGTAACAGAGTTACGGGACATTCTTAAGCAGGAGTAGAACAAGGTTTTACTGCAACTCCAGCCAAAGACACCTGTTACTGGTGTTTCCAAAATCCATGTGTTGAAGTCCTGACCCCTGGCACTTCAGAATGTGCAGAATGTGACTGTATTTGGAACTAAGGTCCTCGCAGATGTAATTAGTTAAGATGAGGTCATACTAGTGTGGAGTAGATCTCTAATTCACTGTGACTGATGTCCTTATAAAAAAGGGAATTTGAGGCCAGGTGCAGTGGCTGACATCTGTAATTCTGACACTTTGGGAGGCCGAGGTGGGTGGATCACCTGAGGTCAGGAGTTCAAGACCAGCCTGGCTATCATGGTGAAACCCCATCTTTAAAAAAAAAAAAAAAAAAAAGAATTTGAACCCAGAAACGCACACAGGGAACCCGTGTGAACATGACAGTAGAGACTGGCTCCTACAAACTAAGGAACACCAACGATTGCCAGCAAGCCCCCAGAAGCCAGGGGAGAGGCATGCAACAGGTTCTCCCTCACAGTGTTCAGAGGGAGCCAACCCTGCCTTCACCTGACCTGGCTTGGACTTCTAGCATCCAGAACTGTGAGACAATAGCTTTCTGTTATTTGTGCCACCCTGGGTGGCAGTCCTAGGAAACTAATACAACATCCAAAAGTGGAGACACAGGCTGGGCACTGTGGCTCATGCCTCTAATTCCAGCACTTTGGGAAGCTGAAATGGGTGGATCACATGAAGTCAGGAGTTAGAGAGCAGCCGGGCAAACATAGTGAAACCCCGTCTCTACTAAAAATACAAAAATTAGCCAGGCATGGTAACACACGCCTGTGATCCCAGCTACTAGGGAGGCCAAGGCAGGAGAATTGCTTGAACCCAGGAGGCGGAGGTTGCAGTGAGCCGAGATCACACCACTGCTCTACAGCCTGGGTGACAGGTCAAGACTCCATCTCAAAAGCAAAAGTAGTGGCTGGGCACGGTGGCTCACACCTGTAATCCTAGCACTTTGGGAGGCCGAGGTGGGTGGATCACCTGAGGTCAAGAGTTCAAGACCAGCCTGGCCATCATGGTGAAACCCCATCTTAAAAAAAAAAAAAAAAAAAAGTAGAGACACAGAGAAAATTGTGGCACTTCTTAGGAATCTGATATCCCAGATAATACCTAGCTCAGAGGGAGGGCAGAATTTAGCCTGCCCTCCTTGCACATTAAGATTTTCACTTTCACTGGCTTTAGCTGTTTTGTCGTAGGAAGCAGCCACCTTTGGCCACAGAACTCAGCTGCCTCAATTTTCTGCATAGGTGTTGAGAAAGTCCTGTGTCTAGTCTCACCTGGGTCCCTCTTGGCTCTGTATTGGTTCCATCTTGGAGAAGTCAGAGGTCAAAGTTTTTCAAACCATGACTCTGCCCACCTGGAAACTATCTTCTTCAGGGGTAGTTTCTCCTAAACTTGCCTCCAGCCTCTCTTCCACTTAAAGGGTAGCAGAGAGGAGGATTAAGACAGCAGGAAAACGGAAAACAGGGAGGCAATTACCCTCCAAGACACTTATTTTGTGCCAAAGACATGCATTATGGTATTACATTCTCATGGTAACTGCATCAGGTAAGAATTATCAGCTCCATTTTGCAGATGAGGAAAGTGGGACTTGGAGACGCTATCACTCGATTAGTGTCTAGAGCTGGGACTCTACCTGGTGGACTCCAAAGCTCTTTTCTTTTCTTTCTTTCTTTTTTTTTTTTTTCTAAGACGGAGTTTTGCTCTTGTTGCTCAGGCTAGAGTGCAATGGCGCGATCTTGGCTCACCACAACCTCCACCTCCTGTGTTCAAGCGATTCTCCTGCCTCAGCCTCCCAAGTACCTGGGATTACAGGCACGCGCCACCGTGCCCAGCTAAATTTTTTTGTATTTTTAGTAGAGGTGAGATTTTTTTTCCATGTTGGTCAGGCTGGTCCCGAACTCCCGCACTCAGATGATCCTCCCGCCTCAGCCTCCCAAAGTGCTGGGATTATAGGCGTAAGCCACTGTCCCCGGCCTCCAAAACTCTTTTCATTCCACCATGCTGTGTGCGCAGTAGGCAGAGTTTGCCAGGGTGTCTTGGGAAAACTGAGGCAGGAGGCAAGAGTTAGTAGTGCTTTCTAGGAGTTGGGGTTTCAATCCTTCCCATCGTCTATTCTCTACCAGCAAACTAGCCTTGCTGTCTCACACTGGAGCAACTGGGCTGGGGTGCTGCGAAATATCTCAACTCCAGCAGGCGGCACTGTGAACCAGACACCAGCCCAGCGTGGACGGTGAGCGGGAAAACCCGCGAGGTGGAGCCACAAGGAGTAGCCCGGGAACCACGTGTGGGGGCGTGGCCACCCGATAAGAGGGCGTGTCTATCAGTCAAGCCCCACCCGTCATTTCAGGCCTCCCCTCCCGGTGGGCGTGTCCCACATTCTCTCCCGGAGAGACACGCGTGGGCCGCTCCCCTCTGGGAGGAGGGCTGCCCGGAGGGGTGCGGGTGTTGCTAGCGGCCCCTCCCCGTGCGGGGCCACGTGGCGGTGCGGGCCGAGTCCAAGGGGAAGAACCTGGCCCTTGGGGAGTTGGGAGGGACTGAATCGGCGCTGAGCGGAGAGGTACTGGGTTCGGAGCAGAGGCGGCGGCGGCGGCGGCAGCGCAGCAAGAGGGAGGGGAGGAGGCAGGCGGGCGCATGGGGCGCCCCGGCCCCTCCAGCAGCGCGCCCCCTCCGGCCCGGCCGCGCTGAAAGCCCCCCAGCGCCGCGCCTCGAACCCACGCCACGGGGCCATGCCGGTCATGAAGGGGTTGCTGGCCCCACAAAACACCTTCCTGGACACCATCGCCACCCGTTTTGACGGAACGCGTGAGTGGGACGGAGGTCGGGACTGGGGCTTCTAGCTGGGGACAAAGTCTCCTCGGGACTGTCTCGGGTCTCCTGGACGTGGTGAGACCCGAGGCAAGAGGAGAGAATGGAGTTGAGGGTCTAGGAACTCCCAAAGCCGCGGTGCAGGAACAGGGTTGGGAGTGCCCTGCGAGGGGAGGAGGTGAAAGGGCCAAGAGCAGGGGGGACAAGGTTGGGGGGTGTGACTCGAGGCAGAAGAGGCTCTTTGTGCGGCAGAGCGGAGGAGGGGCCTTGGGAGCCGCCCGCTGTTGGGCTGAGCTGTGCTGGGGGCGTGTATGAGGGTATCCAAGACACAGAAGTGGTTCAGAGTGGCCGGGCGTTCTGGGGCCTACTCCCAGACTCCAGCTCCCACTACCCCCAGAAAAAAGGGAGAAAAGATCAGACTTCAGCAGGACCTAGCTTGGATTGAGTTCGTGTGCCCCCAAATCGTGGGGCGTCCGTGTCTGAGGTGGGTGAGACAGGAGGAGGGGAACGGTCTGTGCGACGGTGGGAACTCCTAGCTCGCCCACCCCAGCTTGGGTTTCAGGTTCAGCACCTTGGACAGCTGCATACTCCTTCCCCGCCTCTTCTCCCGCCATTCCCTCTTCCCACTCTGGAGCCCAGAGATTCCCTGCCCTCACCTCCCCCAACCCCGCCATTCCCTCGGGAGCCCTGACCAGGATTGAAGGGTGGGGGAGCGGTACCCGAGGGCGGAAACTGAGCCGCGGGGCCCTACCCGCTCCCCGCCCCCCCGCCTTGTTTCCATAGCGCCGATCACCGGGGCAACAGGCCCTGGGATGGAAGAAGGAGGCTGCGCCCAGAGCCCAGTGCCTCCCAGGCACCTTCAGTGTCCCCATCAGCCGCTCTGCCCTCAGATAGTCATCCCTCCAAGAGCACCAGGACTGGTTGTGTCACAGGCCCCATCTCTTAGCTGAGTCTCTGTCCCTGGGTGGCCCACAGGAGCCCCCCTGGCCTCCCATCCATTGGAACTGGAGGGAGACAGCTCTGGTTCTGTTGCTGGGGGTGCTGCAGCTATACACTCAATGCCCTCTCCTGTTAGACTTCGAGCACTGGGGCAGACCTCCTGAAAGCAGCTATAAGAATGCTAAAAAGTGGACCTTTCCTGGAAGGCGGGGAAGGATACCACTTATCACTGTCTGCCCCCACACTAAGGAGATCTGTGAGTTTGGATAATCTCTGCCTTTTGGTTTCGTATCAATAAAATGGATGTGATGTCACCAGAATCTGCCCTGCTTACTCCGTAATAGGAAGAAAGCCAAGTGAGTGTGGGGGAACAATTTCACCTTCTCAAAGTAGCACTTACCATGTGCTAGGACTTGTTCTCCCCAAGTAAACTCAAGTAAGTCTCACAACAACCATGTGAGGAAGGCCTATTATGCCCTACTTACCAAATAAGGAAAGTTCAGGCACAGAAGAGGTCATCAATTTGCCCCAGGTCACACAATAAGTGGCAGTGGAGGGTTGCAGGAACCCAGGCTCTTACTCACCAGGCTATGCTGCCTTCTACAGTGACACCAGTTGGAAGGCAGGGGGACGGACGGCATGACCTCTTGGGGTCCTACTGCAACTCCCTGTTAGACCCTGCTTAAGTTTCTCAGTCCTTATCTCTTTGCTCTATCCTCTCCTATTCTCAATTCAGAATATC